CAGCTCTGACCTCTGATCCCACAGCTCTGCTCTGACCTCTGATCCCACAGCTCTGCTCTGACCTCTGATCCCACAGCTCTGCTCTGACCTCTGATCCCACAGCTCTGACCTCTGATCCCACAGCTCTGACCTCTGATCCCACAGCTCTGATCTAACACATCTCCTTTGATTTGATGTCTGACCCCTCATCTTTGACCTAAATCACTCTAATCTGACCCGACCGCTACGATCTAACCCAGGGGTAGCCCTCCAGCTGATGTGGAACTACAAATCCCATAAGGCATTGCAAGGTTCTCACAGTCACGACTCCCGGAGAGAGATGCATCATGGGATTAGTAGTTTCACCCCCAGCTGGAGGGCCGGAGTTTTGCTACCCCTGATCTAACCCATCTCCTCTGATCTGACCTTTGCCCCCAGGGGTCTGACCTAACCCATCTCCTCTGATCTGACCTTTGCCCCCAGGGGTCTGACCTAACCCATCTCCTCTGGTTTGACCTGACTGTGCCATACTTGGGGAATTCAGAATGAAATGACTGGGGGCTTTTGGGCTCTGCAAGTTTTGGTTCCAGTTACCCTGTATGATTTACAACCGCCCGTCCTCCATTCCCTCCCGCCCATCCTCCATTCCCGACCGTCCATCCTCCATTCCCGCCCGTCCATCCTCCATTCCCGCCCGTCCATCCTCCATTCCCGCCCGTCCATCCTCCATTCCCGCCCGTCCATCCTCCATTCCCTCCCGTCCTCCATTCCCTCCCGTCCTCCATTCCCTCCCGTCCTCCATCTACTCCATATCTTTTTTCTTGTGCTGTAGTTGGCCGAGCAGCTCTACATCAAAGCCGGAAGGAGTAAGGACGCCATTGACATGTACACACAAGCTGGCCGCTGGGAACAGGCACACGCGGTATGACCTTTCACCCCTCAGCACTGTATATAGCAGGAGGGCAGTCGGTGCCGATGGCGGGAGGAAGACTGCTGATGTGTTTGTCTTTATTTTGTAGCTGGCAGTGAAGTGTATGAACCCGGAGGATGTGTCCGTCCTCTACATCACCCAGGCCAAGGAGCAGGAGAAGAAAGGCCACTACAAGGAGGCCGAGAGGTGAGATTCCCCCTAAATCTGGGGTGCATCTGGGGAACCCCCATTATATAACCTGCCCCATTACTATGGACCAAGGAGCAGGAGAAGCATGGCCTCTACAAGGAGGCCGAGAGGTGAGATCTCATAGATCTGGGGTGAGATTACTATGGACCAAGGAGCAGGAGAAACATGGCCTCTACAAGGAGGCCGAGAGGTGAGATCTCATATATCTGGGGTGAGATTACTATGGACCAAGGAGCAGGAGAAGCATGGCCTCTACAAGGAGGCCGAGAGGTGAGATCTCATAGATCTGGGGTGAGATTACTATGGACCAAGGAGCAGGAGTAGCATGGCCTCTACAAGGAGGCTGAGAGGTGAGATCATAGATCTGGGGTGCAATAAAAGAAAAGACGGTGACACCCCTAAGAGCAGCAGTAAGATAAGTTGCCCGCAGTACTTCTCACCTTCACATGTAGCCGGGATAACACACGTGTGTGACCTCGGCCGGTCGGCGTGTACATGATTAGTTGCGGCTCTGGTATTCTTGTCTGTAGATATCTCCTAGAGAGGCCCAATCAGCCTCCAGCGTCCTCCTCAGGGAGGCCCCCGGGACCTCGGAGCACGGCGTTCCCTGGGCTGAGGACATGTAAGGACGGCCACGCCTCCTCCATCCATGACGGGAGACACACATGAGATACGACCTCCCATGTCACCTGTGTATGTATTGCTGACGTTTCCTCCCGACCTCCGCAGATTATACATCACGGTGGAGGAGCCCGACCTCGCCATCGCCATGTACAAGAGACACCACCAGTACGAAGACATGATCCGCCTGGTGGCCAAGCACCACCCGGACCTCCTGACAGACACCCACCTGCACCTGGGCAAGGTAAGTCCTCCCTGACACGGACCTGACACGGCCGTTCTTCACGTGTCACTCACCCGCTCTGTGTCTGTCCGCAGGAGTTGGAGGCTGCGGGGCGCCTGCGGGAGGCCGAGTATCATTACCTGAAGGGGAAGGACTGGAAAGCCGCCGTCAATATGTACCGAGTGACTGATATGTGGGAGGAGTCACACAGGGTACCGCCCACTTTCACCCTCCCACTATACACCTGCCTGTCATACTGCTCCTCCCTCTTCTCCATCCTGCTCTATGGGATTACCTTACTGTGTCCTGCCTGTCATGCCGCTCCTCCCTCTTCCCTCCCTATACTCCTCCTGGTATCCTCTCCGCTGACCTTGTGTCTCCTGATACTGAACTAGGTGGCCAAGACAAATGGCGGCCCCGATGGCTACAAACACGTCACCTATCTGTGGTCGAAGAGCCTGGGGGGGGAGGCGGCTGTCAGACTCCTGACTAAGTTTAACCTGCTGGAGATGGCCATCGACCGCGCCACCGAGAACTGGTGAGTCCGCCGCGCCACCGATATACTGGTGAGTCCACCGCGCCACCGATATACTGGTGAGTCCGCCGCGCCACCGATATACTGGTGAGTCCGCCGCGCCACCGATATACTGGTGAGTCCGCCGCGCCACCGATATACTGGTGAGTCCGCCGCGCCACCGATATACTGGTGAGTCCGCCGCGCCACCGATATACTGGTGAGTCCGCCGCGCCACCGATATACTGGTGAGTCCGCCGCGCCACCGATATACTGGTGAGTCCGCCGCGCCACCGATATACTGGTGAGTCCGCCGCGCCACCGATATACTGGTGAGTCCGCCGCGCCACCGATATACTGGTGAGTCCGCCGCGCCACCGATATACTGGTGAGTCCGCCGCGCCACCGATATACTGGTGAGTCCGCCGCGCCACCGATATACTGGTGAGTCCGCCGCGCCACCGATATACTGGTGAGTCCGCCGCGCCACCGATATACTGGTGAGTCCGCCGCGCCACCGATATACTGGTGAGTCCGCCGCGCCACCGATATACTGGTGAGTCCGCCGCGCCACCGATATACTGGTGAGTCCGCCGCGCCACCGATATACTGGTGAGTCCGCCGCGCCACCGATATACTGGTGAGTCCGCCGCGCCACCGATATACTGGTGAGTCCGCCGCGCCACCGATATACTGGTGAGTCCGCCGCGCCACCGATATACTGGTGAGTCCGCCGCGCCACCGATATACTGGTGAGTCCGCCGCGCCACCGATATACTGGTGAGTCCGCCGCGCCACCGATATACTGGTGAGTCCGCCGCGCCACCGATATACTGGTGAGTCCGCCGCGCCACCGATATACTGGTGAGTCCGCCGCGCCACCGATATACTGGTGAGTCCGCCGCGCCACCGATATACTGGTGAGTCCGCCGCGCCACCGATATACTGGTGAGTCCGCCGCGCCACCGATATACTGGTGAGTCCGCCGCGCCACCGATATACTGGTGAGTCCGCCGCGCCACCGATATACTGGTGAGTCCGCCGCGCCACCGATATACTGGTGAGTCCGCCGCGCCACCGATATACTGGTGAGTCCGCCGCGCCACCGATATACTGGTGAGTCCGCCGCGCCACCGATATACTGGTGAGTCCGCCGCGCCACCGATATACTGGTGAGTCCGCCTTTACCTGTACCCCTGTATGTTACCTGTACCCCTGTATGTTACCTGTACCCCTGTATGTTACCTGTACCCCTGTATGTTACCTGTACCCCTGTATATTACCTGTACCCCTGTATGTTACCCGTACCCCTGCATGTTATGGTTTCCAAGGAACTTGTCCAGGAGTATCTTGAATGATTCCACACTCTTAGCTGAGATCACTTCCTGCGGCAGTGAGTTCTTCCTCCTCCTGACATGTATGAGGACCCCCATACACGTGTGTTATATGTCCCTCTCCTATAGCAGAATGTGCTCAGTCTGTTTCTGATTTTAGCACATTCGACTTTGCGTTTGAACTGAGCCGCCTGGCAATGAAAGAGAAACTTCCGGAGATCCACCTGAAACACGCCATGTTCCTGGAGGATGAGGTAATCATATGTACACAGGAGTGTGAGGGACCCCCATTATATAACCTGCCCTCAGGAGTGTGAGGGACCCCCCATTATATAACCTGCCCCAGGAGTGTATTAGGACCCCCCATTATATAATTTGCACCCCCAGGAGTGTGAGGGACCCCCTATTATATAACCTGCCCCCAGGAGTGTGTGGGACCCCCTATTGTATAACCTGCCCCCAGGAGTGTCAGGGACCCCCCATTATATAACCTGCCCTCAGGAGTGTGTGGGACCCCCTATTGTATAACCTGCCCCCAGGAGTGTGAGGGACCCCCCATTATATAACCTGCCCTCAGGAGTGTGTGGGACTCCCTATTGTATAACCTGCCCCCAGGAGTGTGAGGGACCCCCCATTATATAACCTGCCCTCAGGAGTGTGTGGGACCCCCTATTGTATAACCTGCCCCCAGGAGTGTAGGGATAAGAGGATAGAGTCCCTTTTCCGTGGCATAGTCCACCTTGACTTTCAGAAAAAACTGCTTCTTAGTGCTACGGAGAGGGCAGAGCCGGGCTTTGGATTCCGGGGACTATAACTGGAGCAGCGGGGGAAGGGAAGATTACCTCAGCAGTACAAAGTGTTAGAGACCACGCAGGGCCCCTTCCTCAGGCAATGTAATCATCTTCCCTCATGAAGGGGCTCTATGAGAGCGTAAAGTCAATAAAGGCATTTTCATGGTGAAGATGATGGTGTGTTGGGGAGTTATGTTCTACTTGGAGGTTACCAGGGGTTCCCCAGCAGTGAGCCTCCATATTTTGTAGAATCTGAGCAGATCTCTGGGTCTAGTGGTCCTTTTATCTGGGAGACTCAAGATCTAGTGGTGCTTCTGCTGGAAGACTGGACCCACTAGATCTGGAGTCTTCCAGCTGAAGGACCACTAGAGTCTCCCAGATGGTGGCGCTGGAGAATTAGAGGGCCACCATCAGGGAGATTCCAGATCTAGTGGTTCTCAAGCTGGGAGCCTCCATGTCTACTGGTTTTTACAGCTTGGAGCCTTCAGGTCTAGTAGTCCTCCTGCTAGGAGCCTCCCTGAGCAGGTGTCCAGCTCTATGTGAATACCAAGGTGTTGCACTGCAAGATTCCCTTCATTATGAGGTAACACAGGACAGCAGTGTGGGGGCTTCAATCTACAAGACACTCCAGTCTTCTAAGATCAGCATAGAAATTTGCCCCACATCCATTGAGTTTTCCCTTTATCGTCCCTGTGGCTGATTATCTGGAGATGTCTCTTATTTGGGATTTTACAGGGAAAGTTTAATGAAGCCGAGGCCGAGTTTGTAAAAGCTGGAAAACCTAAGGAAGCCGTTCTCATGTAAGTGTCTTATCAGTCTGTATCTGGCCAATCTCTTCCATGGCGTCCCCGCGTTCCCTCGTCCCCGCGTTCCCTCGTCCCCGCGTTCCCTCGTCCCCCTCGTCCCCCTCGTCCCCTCGTCCCCCTCGTTCCCTCGTCCCGCTCGTTCCCTCGTCCCCCTCGTTCCCTCGTCCCCCTCGTTCCCTCGTCCCTCTCGTTCCCTCA